AAGCCTTCCATCCCTCAGGGGTCGATGTGTTGTACGAACCACTTCATACACCGCTTTCACTGACTTGTACATCGGCTGGCCCCCGCAAGTCATTGTATAGGCCACATCGCATTCAAACGCCACTACGAATGTACAAATGGAAGTAGAATGCGTGCCGCATCCCAAAAGGGATTGATCAACGGCAAATGCTTTATCCTTTATCCTTTACGTTCGTACGCATATCGTTCTATCAGTCCTCATCAGTCGTTATCACTTTTTGACCCCCACCAAATATGTTCCGTCCCACCCCCTATATCATGTCCCAAAATCAGCTCCTGACGACTGCTGCGAAGCGCACTATGAATTTCGTGAAATTTGTGTTTCAGCGCCTCTTATCTGCTCTTATCAGTCGTTATCACTTTGTGACCCCCACCAAATATGTTCCCGTCCCACCCCCTATATCATATCAAAAAATCAGCTCCTAACGACTGCTGCGACGCGTGCTATGAATTTCGTGACACACACACACACAGACAGACATAGCTTTTATACATAGTAGGGATGACCGGGTGTGCTCGATCGGTTTTTATATAGCCGTCGGGTATTATCACAATCATGGCGGAGCATTGAAATCGAAATACCTTCGGGCCTCCCAGTTTTTTCAGCGGTTGATGTCCTCTATCAGCGGCCTTCATTGTGCTGACGGACAGACAGACAAGCTTACACACATACACACAAACAAACGAAACACCAAGGTCACATAATGAATGATTGCAAAAGATAGGGTGTGCCTTACTTTTGAGGCCTGTATAGTCAAGACACTTTTAGTCAAATCCAGTGGAACTGAGTAGGGCGTGATCATAGGCGAGATCAACCAGTTTCATGCTAAAAAGCTTGAGTTTATGTTCTGAAGAGAGCAGTGCGCATTTATGATAATGATGATATCCAGTGAAGATGGGGAAATCGCTGATATTTTTTTTGCTGTTGTTAAATGCTAGATATCGAAATCCAATTTCTTTAGGTTTCGACAACGAATCGGCCTTGGAGCAATTTGCCATTGCAAATCCAAACGTGGTGATCGCTGGTAAATGCTTTCTGAATTATCGAACCAGATTGGTCCCCCCGTCAAACGCCGGGGCCTTCCTTCCCTGCGTAAGCTTACGTTCTCCGCCTCTCCTTATCCTCCCCTCCTCCCTCCACTGCCCTCCAGCTGCCACTGCAGCACCATGTGGAATGACCGGAAGTGTGCTAAGCAGGTGTTTATATAGCCGTAGGGTGTTATCACAATTATCCTATTACAAAACATTGATATCTCAAGTCCTGCGAGCTACCCGATTTGTTAGCGGTTTGTTTATTCCATTAGCTGCCTTATCACTCCATTTTGCGGACGGGAGGGCATACATGCAGACATATTAAGTTGTCTCAGAAGTTCGAGCTCATTTTTGGATCTCTGCCACAAGCTCATCCAGCAAATTTCAAATATGATCACGTAGACTTGGAGAAGGCTCAACTTGCAGTATCAGTTTGCAGTTATAAGCGAATCATGCCCTCCCTATTCGCCTTCTTCGAGTTCAAAGTGCAAAAAGAAAAGAGTCATGTTCATCACGCTCTGTCTCAAGAACTTCTAATACACCGTAAACCGAGAAACATGTGCTCCGCGATACATCTCGTTGCTATTGCCATTCATGAGGTATCAGTATGGATGGATTTTCTCTTTCAGGGAAGTACAACCAGTGGAAAAGCCCTCGTTTAGGGAGGCCATAGAAGTCGGATTTGGAGAGCCTGCGCTCTCATGGGAGCCACTCCACACGGGTAACCTGCTATGTGGCCGCCACACCCTGATGTTTCAGATGCACAGTTCGTAGAGGTTCTCGCTCCTTCGTAAAATGGTTGAAGCCTTGCCAAAGATTCCCCCATGAATTGACCACCGATGACAGGAGTGCGACACGAGTCCCGTCTATAATTTGGTTCCTACTCCACCCGTACGCCCTGGTTGAACAAAGCCACTACTGCAGTTGAGAAGCTCAGGTTTCATGACAACCACACCTAGAATCTCCAGGGACTGGATCGAACAGAAGAGGGTGAAAATGGACTAAATTCACCACAAGGTCGTGTTTCGGCTTTTTTTGGAGCGTTCACGAGTTAACTACTAGAGGCATCTCCCTCATAATAGCAATGCAATAGAGTCAGCTACGTCTAGTGTGATCAGCGCCGAAACTCCAACAGCGCTCCTTGGAACTCGGAGTGTGTCCGCTTCACGACAACCGAGACGACCGTTTCGAAAAAGGCGCAACTTCAGATAACGAGGCTTAACCGAAAAGTCCTACCATATCCAACGTGCAGCGGTGATCAACCTTTTTTCAAAGGACGCTTGCTTTTTGCTCAGCAATCCTTCTTGACGACAAAAAATACGATTCCCATAGAGCACCTCGAAAATCGACCTCACTGCCTTTTTCAGCTCGTAACTGCCAGCCTTCCAAGAGTTAAGCGGCCACTCTTCGGTTGTCGTTGGCAACAAGTCAGTTATAGCGGTGAAGCATATATTAATGATAGATAGCGCAGCGCATATTGATGATAGATGTGTTGAAATAGAGTAGGCTCAAAAAGAACTTTAAAATACGCATGGCTACTGAGACAACTTGATGCATACAAACCGACACTCTATAGCGGTTCATAAAATAGAAGGATATTATCATCAAATGTTTCACAAGAATGCTGGGTTGTGAACAGATCTTTCGCCCCAGACGGGACTCGAACCCGGACCTCTTGGTTAATTATCATCGAAAACCTTTGCAGGCATTGTCTTCGAAGATATCTCCCCGACAGCAACATCTTTCGATCCTGTGGTTAAGTATAAAATACGCCAGATACCTGCATTCACACCGAATACCGCAGCAGCTCGTGATGTTATCGCTCTGTATACTGGTCCTCGAGATTGGGATGACTCTTACTACTCCTATGGATTCCTTTGGATACAGGTTTATCGGCTTTTATAATTTTACCTAATAGTTGTCGAAAATAAAAATGCCAGGATGTGATTGAACGCTCCTTAATTGCTGCTATGACGGGGATGCATATTGTTGAGCCGGGAGCTGGAATGCAAGAAATGGCCTATCCTTGCTTCAGATATGACAGGTAGGTCAACTTTCTGTGTTATCCTTCTAGAGTTAAGGCGTTCACTTCAAAAGCGCAAAGTGATGTTTGTAATGGTTTCTCCGAGCTTACTGTCTTTGACAACAACTGTTCAGTGCAGCGAACGCCACCATTCCCATATCTGCCTAACTCAAAAAAGAGCCGATGTTGCCCATTTTTGGCTCACTTTTCTCGGGTCTGCTGCAAGAGCTCTAACATAAAAGCCCACAGCCAAGAATCCTATCACCGGAAATTCGTAGCACGAGTCACAGTAATGATAGCGCCATGGTTCTTACATATGTTATAGGGGGTGGGATGGGGACACAAGTGGTACGTGATAGGAACTGATAACGACTGATAATAGCTGATAAGAGGGGCTAGAAAGCGAGCATCGCCAATTTCGTTTTGTCGTTCATATTGGTACTAGAGCGTCTATACTTACAAGTGTTATGTGGGGTGGTCCCGGGACATTGGTGGTACATGATTGAAAGTGATAGCAACTGATAAGGGCTGATAAGGCGCGTCAGAACGCAAAAGTCGTCGATTCCGTTACCTAGCTCGCGTTGACACTAGAGCGTCCATACTTACAAGTGTTATGTGGGGTGGGACGGGGCATTGTTGATGGGTAATAGAAAGTGACTGCAACTGGTCTCACATACCGTGGATGCGGCTGCGGTGAGGACGTGACCACTGGTGTGACCATTTAGAATTCCCTGTATTCCTACAGACTTTATTGCCATTTTGAGGCACTCTGCATGCAATCGAATTACAGCACTGACTACATTCATATACCATGAATTGAGAATCTGATTTAAGGAGGGCAAAAATGGCCAGGCACTGCCTTGACATCCTAGGATAGTTACTATTGCAGAAAAAAGCCACTCGCAGACAGAGTCAACCCTGCGTTGCGCAGTTTTCAACGGCCACGTTGCGCAGTTTCGCCCGATTAGACACGTTCTCTCGCGCGAACATTCACACTCGCATGCTCGAGCCGTCTGTGTCTCCGCCCATACAGCGTGCGTTGAGGATCTCTCAACGTGCCGTTGCGAACTGCGCAACGCAGGGTTGACTCTGCTCGCAGATTCAAGTCACTTACCTACTGGTCTATGTGAACTGTTGGGTTGTCCCAGAAGTTCGTGCGTATTTCTAGATTGGAACTACCTCTGGCGCTTTCTCTTATTTTACATTGGCTCCGAAGATGGCACTAGGTGTAGTGGGTGGTTGCCGAATCTCGCCTAATCGCTGTCTTGTCACTGTAAGAAAAAGCCACCTTGGGGTGCCGCTGGAAAGGACTTGAACATGCGTTAGCGCCTTGATTCCGCCTAATCCTTGGTACCGCCCACTTGCTAGACATCGACTAGCGGGTTTGGCTGTGTAGAGATGTTCGATCGTTTCGGAACTACAGGGACTATTTTAACCCGGTCCTCCGAATCGTTCAATTTGATCCCTCCGCCTGCGCTGGAAATATGAATGCTTCTTGACCAAACGTGCGTCGTTTTTGTCTCAGAAACTGCAATGTTTGGTAAGCTATGTGTTTTTCCCAACGATGAATTCAGTTGCAGTCTTCAGCAATAAGGGTTTTTGACAACCAAGTTCGCATAACTCGTCCGGTCTGCCCCTTCGTTGTTTGAAGAAGAAACAGTGGGAATCCTTCTTTAAGGACTTCGTCGGCTTCTTTTTCCATTGCAGTGAACTCGACATCCGAATTTTCATTATTGACCACCCGAATTCGACCTGGAATTGTTGCTTCAAATATCCTTCGCGCACCTCAAAGATACCAGGGACCAGGACCTCAAAGACACTGGTGCAGAAGGACCATCTATGTTTGTTGGAATGACTGCGCTCTGCCTCCTGAGCAAATTTGCATGACCTAACCCGCTATGTAGCCACCACACCCTGAAGTTTTAAGTGCACTGTTCGTGGAAGTTTTAGTCTCCACGAAAAGGATTGAAGCTCTGCCAAAGTTTCCCTCATGATTTGACCACTGGCTGCAGGAGTGAGAGAAGAGTGTAATCCACAATTTGTTTCTCGTTATAACCAGCGGCACTACAATACCGTCCCTTTTTGTTCAATCGCCGAAATGTGAGACAACTTTCCGTAGCAAAGCGTCGTTTTGCTGTAACTTTTGAAGGAATGGTCCAAATGATCTGAAAATAAGAAAAATGGATAGCCTAGATCATGCGGAATTCAATGGACTAAGGAACTCCTACTTTTGTTCAGTGCTTCAACTTCATTTTCGAGGAATTCAGTGCTTGAGTCTCTACTTGCCAATAGCAGTACCTGCGGACATCACCCTGTCGTAAACCCTCCAGTTCGATTAGAAGTTTCGGTTTCAATCTCCAAAAGCCATCAATATCAGCATTTTCGAAAAGCTTATGATTCCGTGATCATATTGGTATCCTTTTTGGTAGGTGTTAAACAAATTTAAGCTGAAAAATGAAAAATAATGATCGTTTTTCACCAAAACTCCAATTCCTTCGCTTTCTCAGTAAAGAGGAGCACATGCATGGCAGGCAGATCAGCTACTTGCAGAAAGTTCATTCTCCACGTTTCGAATTGTTCATTTGCATCCGGATGAACATCATTTTTCACCCATTTTTCTTTCTATCATAGAATGAACAAATAGGTACCCTCCAAGTCGACATGACAAATAATGTTCATATGCTAATGAATTTCTATTTCTGAATGAAGTTTGCTTACAATTTCTACCACTTCCACTGTGCCAATCCTCCTACGGTCGGTCCCTCGATGGCTGACCCTCGATGAGCTACGTGCCATCGACCTGATTGCCCCAGTAATATATGCTTACCTAACATACAAATGCACCAGAAGATTGGTTGGGAAGTATCGGAAGATTATGTTGATCGTTCTCCAAAATTGCTTATATTGAACTTTTCACTTCTCACTACCTTTGATTTGGAATTCATTTTCAGTCAGAAGGCATAACATTTTTTGAGATTCTTCATCAGGATATGAAAAGTGCTCATATACCTGATTGAGAAGTACTTTTCTTTTTTCCTTTATTCTACTTTCAAATACTTTTCACTGTAGGTCGGCCAGTCTAGAAAGTGTATAATGGAGGGGTAGATTCTTTGATAGATTTGATCAACTCTTCAGTATACGTACTTGTAAGCCATTTTGAATGTGTGTGAATTAGAAAATCATATCATAATCTTCATGTAGCTTTCTGAATCTATTATCCGTCAGGATACAAACGTAAGAGGTGCCATGTCCTGGAAGGGTGCTCATAAATGTAGTGTCACAACCGACCTGTCTAGCTCAAGAGGTCAGGTGGGCACGTCTAGGCGGAGCGCTTACGCGATAATACCGACGCAAACAATTGTGAAAATTGAAAATTTTCATATTAATATTAATAGAGGGACTAAAAATCTTATGCCTTCTGACCGAAAATGAAGTTCAAATCAAAAGGTAGTGAAAAGTTCAATATAAGCAATTTTGAAGAAAGACCAACATAATCTTCCGATACTTCCCAACCAATCTTCTGGTGTTAGATTTGTATGTTAGGCAAGCATATATTACTGGGGCAATCAGATCGATGGCACGTAGCTCGTTTAGCTCATTGAAGAAAGGTCAGCCATCGAGGGACCGACCGTAGGAGGATTGGCGCAGTGGAAGTGGTAGAAATTGTAAGCAAACTTCATTCAGAAATAGAAATTCATTAGCATATGAATTATTTGTCATGTCGACTTGGAGGGTACCTATTTGTTCATTCTATGATAGAAAGAAAAATGGGTGAAAAATGATGTTCATCCGGATGCAAATGAACAATTCGAAACGTGGAGAATGAACTTTCTGCAAGTAGCTGATCTGCCTGTCATGCATGTGCTCCTCTTTACTGAGAAAGCGAGGAATTGGAGTTTTTTGGAAAACGATCATTATTTTTCATTTTTCAGCATTAAATTTGTTCAAAACTTACCAAAAATGGATACCAATATGATCACGGAATCATAAGCTTTTCAAAAATGCTGATATTGATGGCTTTTGGAGATTGAAACCGAAACTTCTAATCGAACTGGAGGGTTTACGACAGGGTGATGTCCGCAGGTACTGCTATTGGCAAGTAGAGACTCAAGCACTGAATTCCTCGAAAATGAAGTTGAAGCACTGAACAAAAGTAAAGTTCCTTAGTCCATTGAATTCCGCATGATCTAGCTATCCATTTTTCTTATTTTCAGATCATTTGGACCATTCCTTCAAAAGTTACAGCAAAACGACGCTTTGCTACGGAAAGTTGTATCACATTTCGGCGATTGAACAAAAATTAGGGGCGGTATTGTACGTTGCTACTGCGATTAAGAATCGTTGTTCAATAGCCTTTTGCGCAATAAAAAGATCAGAGTAATCGACCTCAGTGTCATGCATGGACGACTTTTGAATCTCAGCATGCTGATTATATGGTTCATTACTTGCACAGCTATTAACAGATGTTAAATTCCCTTAAGTGGGCTATCGGTCTTGTCATTTTTGTCAGCCTGGAAAGTTGAGGTAGGCACGACATTTCAATTAAAACAATCCATTCTACACTAAAGACATCTTGTTTTTGGAGTCGTAAATCATCCTACTCGTAGGACACACCTTAATCGCACAACCGCCTAATACTAGGACCATTTGCTAATCTAAATTTAGTGTGTGGCTGCCCATACCTGCCCCTCGACATGAAGCAGCTGACGGTCGTAGCTCGAGAAATGGTGCATGTTTACTTTGAATAAGAACACTCATCCTTCCTGTTAGGGCTTTTTGCATTTATCCAAAAATCCTCGACAGTTTTACGTACCTAGGTAAGAGCTTCGGTCCTTAGAGCCTCTGAAACCTCAACTTCGCACTTCAATGGCACTGCAGTAGGTGGGTACCAGGAAGTCCTGGTATTGATCTTTTAGGTCCATTTAGATGCTTCATCGCCTTTGAGCAAAGGCGCCGCTTAGTTTCCCAATGCATTCGTGCCGCAGCTTTTGCGTGTGATCAGGTAGATCACAACTGAAGTGAAAA